TTATCGGTGAAAGACGTTCTAGTGTGCCCAAGGAACATAATTAACGAAAAACGTGTAGTTCATGCGAAAGTGCGAAATGTACGACAGGGTGCCATGCCCCACCGATGCCTCCTCCACGGCCTGCGCTGCATGTACCAAGTAGGCGCTCCAATAGATTGCAGTGCCCTCTGCGCATGCACGAGCAGCACGGACACGATCTTGCATGAGGACGACGCGGAGACGGCAGACTAGCCAGTTATTCTAGAGACCGTAGTGTTACTTCCTGCAAAGCCTTATTTCTGTGACATGCACAAATAATTTAAAACATTGCTCCATGCTTGCCTCAAATAATTATGCCATCGCTGCACTGCTGCCTGTAATGAAAGCACACCATAGTACATGTACACAGCACATCACATATATATGTGTACTTTCACAACTTATCCCACTGACGCGTTGGTTCTGGCGCAGTACTATGGTGCTGCAGGGACAAGGGAAACCAAAACCCAAAGCAAAGCCTTTGTGGATCAGCAGCAGCCCTACGGCTACTGACATCGCTAATGGCCGCACGTAAAGTTTCCTGCGTAATGTTGTGTGCGCTGTCACAGTGCCAGCTCTTTGTGGCGCTCAGCTGGAGACTACACAAATACTGTCTTGAGAGAAGAACGGTGAGTCTTTTTCGGAAGTGTGTCACCATCATCATCATCATCATCATCAGCCTGACTACGTCCACTGCAGGACAAAGGCCTCTCCCATGTTTCGCCAGTTAACCCGATCCTGTGCTCGCTGCTGCCAATTTATACCCGCAAACTTCTTAATCTCATCTGCCAACCAACCTTCTGTCTCCTCTAACCTGCTTCCCTTCTCTAGGAATCCAGTTTGTTACCCTTAATGACCAGCGGTTATCCGTCTACGCGCTACATGCCCGGCCCATGTCCATTTCTTCTTCTTTATTTCATCTATGATATCCTTAACCCCCGTTTGTCCCCTAATCCACTCTGCTCTCTTCTTGTCTCTTAAGGTTACACCTACCATTTTTCTTTCCATTGCTAGCTGCGTCGTCCTCAATTTACGCTGAACCCTCTTTGTAAGTCTCCAGGTTTCTGCTCCGTAGCTTAGTACCGGCAAGATACAGCTGTATATACCTTCCTCTTGAGGAATAGTGACAATCTACCTGTCATAATTTGAGAGTGCTTGCCAAATGTGCTCCACCCCATTCCTATTCTTCTCGTTACTTCAATCTCGTGGGTCGGCTCCGCGGTTATTACCTGCCCAAGTAGACATAGTCTTCTACAACTTGAAGTGCACTATTACCTACCTCGAAGCGCTGCTTTTTTCAACGTTTCTGTACATTACTTTCGTTTTCTGCAGATTAATTTTGAGACCCACCTTTCTGTTCTCCTTCTCTAACTCCGTAATCATGAGTTGCAATTCGTCCCCTGAGTTACTCAGCAATGCAATGTCATCGGCAAAGCGCAGGTTACTAAAGAACTCTCCATTAACTCTTATCCCTAACTGTTCTCATTCTAGGCTTCTGAAAACCTCCTGTAAGCACGCGGTAAATAACATTGGGGAGATTGTGTCCCCCTGCCTTACACCCTTCTTGATTGGTATTCTGTTGCTTTCTTTATGAAGCACTATGATAGCAGTTGATCCCCTGTAAATTTCTTACAGGATGTTTAAATACACTTGTAAGATGTAAGATGTATGTAAGATATATTAGTGTCAGGATTGTGAAGATACTTGCAGAATATTTTGTGGTTCACTTTTTTTTTTTTCATGTCTGGCTTTCACTTTATGTGAAGTTCACGGGCGAAAGTTGCAGTGGGTGAAATGCCCATTGACTGAAGTAGGCATCTGGCAAAAACGTCAAAGAATAGCTGAAGACGTTCATAATGAACTTCTTAGCTGCATAGAAGCAAGTGATAATGGTCGCAGCGACGATCACGCTGCGAACAAGTCATCAGAGCAAGGGAATAAAGTTCTGCTTTGTGACCCAACTGCTCGGCACCATCAGTCGCCCGACGCGCTCAGTTTGCCTCGCGCATCAATCACAGGCAAACGTAATGCAAGTGATTTTTCTTCGTCTGACACTGAATCGGGCACTTTCACTCACATCACGCCAAAAACATGAGTGCTCCGGAAGCAGTAATTTTATTTTCGTTTTCTTAAGGCCTTAACGCAGTTGCAAATTGAGGTCAAATAGGCTTTGTAAATTTGTAGACAAATTAGCAAGACTTTCTCTGGATATGCCTTGGTGCTTAAGGTGACTGAAGCCTGTGCTTTATTCTGCCAACTTGAATTAATGTGTTTTTTTTTTTTCAGCAAGGCGGCTCAAGCCTGCATTCAACGTGCCCTCTAATTAAAGTTGTGTGAACTGGTTCTCTGTTTGCCTTGTTCGTATTGCAACAACATGAATCGTCCACACAACTACAAATGTTCACCAGAAACCTGAACTAACTGCTCAAATATGATCCCAAATCTTGTTTTTTTTTTTTCGCTTCTTTCTAATGTGTTGTAGAATTATGATAGCTTCGGAAGGGCAACTTGCACCTGCTGTTTGTGCCTTGTAAATATAATACTATGTATCATATTAAGTTTGACATTACAAAACTGATGTTAAGAGACTTTAATAATTACAAGAGAAAAGTTGTTGTTCGGTTTGTTCAAGCTATTTTGTAATGTTACTGCTATCATTCATCTCGTGCAACATTTGTTTGAGATATTTTAAAAGGAAAAGTGCTTTTGTTTTACACTATTTTGTAACATTACAGCATCTAGTCAAGCCTGCTTTTGAAAAATATTTTCATGGGTCACATTTTGTCTTTCTACATTACCTTAACTGGGCTAAAGCTGCTCTGGTAATTGCTCGTCCTATTTTGTAATATTATCTTTCTAGTCAAGCGTGCCTTTGCAGCTTTGTTGATATCAAGTTGATATGGGGCCACTAGTTAAGGATGCAAGCTAGCAACATTATTTTTTACTGCCTCCTGGGTCCCAGATTTTGTCTAGTTTACTCCAGGAGGGACAAGCTTACTTATGTGTGGTCACGCTATCTTGCAATATTAGTGCCTAGTCAAGCATGTCTTCACAACTCGGTTCATGTTAAACACTTCATAAAATCTCGGCTGCGGCGGCTTCATTTCCGAAGGAGGCGGAAATGTTGTAGGCCCGTGTGCTCAGATTTGGGTGCACGCTGAAGAACCCCAGGTGGTATAAACTTCCAGAGCCCTCCACTACGGCGTCTCTCATAATCATATGGTGGTTTTGGAATGCTAAACCCCACATATCTATCAAACACTTCAAAAGTACCACACCATTATCGGTGTATTTTTCCAGGATTATTTCTTACTTTCTCATGCGTAAGATTTTTATCTGTCGGTGATATATTCAAAAGAGAAACTTTCACCTATGTGCATTCATGCATGCTGTTATGCTACCGTATCTAGTCAAGCCTGCATGGCTTTTTCAATGTTTAAAACGGATAAGGGGCCACATAGGTAAGGGCACCAGCGCTGCAAGACTGCTGCTTATATTCTCCTGTTGTTCTGGTATACCACAAAAAGGAAAGTGTAGTTGCTCCTAAGTTTGCTCATATTACTCTATCTAGTCAATCTTGCCTTTATAGTTTTGGCCACGCCAAGCATTCAAGTATCTGGTCATCCGATCGATCCAAGTTTTGCTCTTAAGCATCTGGTCGATCCCTTGAAAAGCAGCAAGCTTTCCATAGGATTGTCCACATGCAAGTTGCAGGTCGATTCCGAATGCCTGACCACTCATCTTGAACTACTTTCCCTAACTATTTTTTATACCCACATGATTGACAAAATTCTATGCACAAGACCTGAACAGTATGCACAGCCAGAGCTGTGAAAGTATTAATAATGGATGCGAATTATTTCCACCCCTTGGCTCCTCAAAGCTCTCACATTTACCCTGAAAAGTTAAGGTGCAATCATTATGAAAAAATTCACACAGAATCTCACTCGGGAGTTGTCTAAGCATTATGTTTTATTGTACGCAGCAGCCACCTCTAGAACACGCATTGGCACAGAGTCTTCCATCTTCCCTCTAAAAGCTGTCAACATAAGCTTCTCTCTAGCACTCATGAACGCGCCATGGACAACATCCCATGGCATGCACCTCCCACAGCCACTAAAACATGTGTTCGGCAAAAAATTTTGTAAAGCTTGAACTTTTATGTGTAAAGCTTCCCCTGTCGGTTTCACATAATTTCTTGCGAGGACTCTTCTCCAGGAAATTCAATGAAGCCTTCTACTAGCAACACTCGTTTTTATCGCAAGTACAATGGATTGATGCAGGTCATATGTTCATAATTTAATGAATCAATCGATCTTTTATTTTCCACTTTAGCAAGTAGAGGGCACGAGAAGAAAAAGCTCCTGCGAGCTGATTGACTAGGCTTCCTAGCCGTTAAGTTCAGCAAGCAGTGATAGCATACAGTAACTGGCGTACGCAAATAAAAGCACAATAAAGCATACATTGTTCTTATACAAAGTCACTGAAATATCACTACACGTACATGCAATTCAGGAAAAAAAAAGGAGACTACTGCATCAAAGACAAAGTTCAAAACTGACATTTCAGTCATCTCACGAAGAAAGCATGCAGCGCAGGCTGGAAGATGAAATACAAAAACCATTTTGCGATAGAAAGTTTAATACACAAGGCAAAGTTATTCTTAGCATCTGGGCCCTGTAGTTTGCACGTGGCGTTCTTGTTTCTAACTTTTTTCACGAACCGTAAGGGATACAAAGAAGCATGGAACCTTAAAGTTCAAGACACTTTAAAGTGTGACAGCTCAGGTTTGAACCCAAGCACTACATTCAGAACACCTTTTCTTTATTCCTTCATTTCTTTATAGCAGTCATTGTGCTAAGTGGACGAATGGACTGTTTCGTCGTTGAGTTCGCACATGCATGAATAATTCTGCCACTGATGAACTGACCATGCAAGTACAGGAGCGGCTTGAACAGACAAGAGACTCGAGGAGTGTTCACCTTGAACTGAACCAGAGAGAGGTCCCAGCAGGGACGCACATGCTGGAGAACCCGAAGCGCGCCTTCTCGCAGTGATGCCTCAGTGGAACCATCCACAAAGATGTCCACCACGTCCAGTGGGGGCTCACCGGCACCGTTTTGTACACACACTGTTGAGGCCAGAGCCACAGAGGAAGCCGGCTCCGAGCTTGGCTGGGCATGGTTCATGGCTGCCGTGGCCATCCGCAATACTCAGGCAAGACGGTCACTGAATCACCTGAGCAGCCAGAGGCATGGCACCTGAAGCAAAGAAGAAAACAAAATAAAGCCACACATTAGGACAACATGATGCTCTATGACCCCACAATGTTTTATGGAAGCCTAAATGTGCTTACAAACTCTACAATCAGCACCAAAACATTGCTTACCAAATAAAGACATAAAAAAAGACGGTCTTAGAAGTGATGTCGCAGAAATTAGCCAACTAGCACAAAACGGCCAGCAGGCTTTGCAGTTCCATGCCCTGTTTGTGAAAGCCCTGTAAAAAGTTGTGAGAGCACTTCTTTCAGTTCTTCTACTGACATGTTATAGCCTTAGAAATAATGTCAAAGTACAATACGGCCCCAAAAGAAGATGCATCACTTCAATACACTCAAGATAACACAGCAGTAATGCGTTAATGACCTGCCACACAATGACTGCATACCCTGGTCAAAAGAATTTATCAGTGTGTCTGTCAGCATGGCAGAAACCCAATCCCAGCTGTATCTTAGCAGGGCCAGCAGTCTTTCAACGCTATCTCTGCTATCAGTGATGGGGGCTAATGTGTGAAGACGATGCATTTTCTCTGACAGCCAGCCATTCTTCTGTGGCAGTCACGTTCCACACAGACTGCAGACAAGACAAGACATATCAGACGAGCTGCCAAAGACGCCATTCTTGCGGTGGAGATTTCACTTACTCTGGCTATTTGCCCTGTGGGGACATTTGATGTTTTTTATTCATTTAGACACTGGTAAAATAAATAAAAGCCAGTAAATAAGAACAAACGCTTTTGCATGAACATGACTAGCAGAGATGTGATTACTTTTGCAATTTAGGTCTAGTGAATAAAAGAAACTTTTGTGTGCATGTAAAATATGGTCGGCAATTGAGAGTCAATATACACATGAAAAATATAAAACTGCCACTTATGCTTACAGAGATAAAATGTACAGCATAATGTACTACAAATTATTTTTTCAAGACCATCAATTAAACTTCTGCAGTGCTTTCCCACATTCAAACCTCAGTAATATTTAATGACTTCACACACTCTGAACAATGTTTCACAAAAGGGCTACTGACAATCACTTGACCTTTCAGCAAAGCTATAATACGTATCTGCTGGATTATACAACTTTTCAATAGTCGTTCCTTCAATACAGTTAAAGAAGTTCAAGAACTGATGCAACTAAAGTGAAACTGCCTGTAACAAATTTTAGTGCACTACTTAAATGCTCAAAGTGAATGTGTATATCATTTTATTTGAATATAGTACCTGCTTTTCTACTATAAGCTACAGCTACTGAATTTGGACTCTAACTATTTGCACAGTCTGAATGTTTTTTTTTGTTTTTTTTTAACAAATCAAACCTAGTTCGTCTCTGCCAACAAGTAACAACTCTCCCCTGTGTCTAGTTTTCTCAGGTGTAGCACACAGATCAATCTACATTAATGCTTTACCTCCTTGTGTCTCATACCGTCTCAACTTGTTCACAGATGGCTGTGTAATAGTGTTAGGTGATAAACGAGTTGCTTACACTACAGATTATTCCCAAAATATATTTGCAAGAGCGGTTCCAGTGCTGGTCAGTTTGGATCCGAGCTCGAGCAGCAAGCGACCTTCGTCCTCTTCGTCGAGCTCACACACGTTTCGGCAATATGCATTCCGGCAGGCTACATGTAGCATAACCCCCGTCGGCAAAGGCGCCGTCTCGGTGCATCTAGACCTCAACGTCATTGCGCAAGTGGTACTTCTTCAGGCGTGCGACATGTACAATGTTGCTGGCCTGAAGGATTGATAAATACGACGGCAGCAGAAGCGATTTCATAAGTGACGAGTGTCACTGCACAAAGCACTCAACATGGCCTCGTGTACTAAGAGGGCAGTTTGTCAGACAGGTCAACGTGCATTGCTGGTTTTGTTGCCAACATTGGTTTTGTTAGGAAGTCAGAAGGCAAGTAGGAGTGGCTTTGCATGCATAGGCGGCACAGCTGAAGGTGTCCAGGGCATATTCAGTGGTCGGAGTGGCTGGCGCCGGAATGACTGTATTGAGGGGCAGTGTGGGTTCGCAACCGAACAACAGAAAAAATGGAGAATAACCAGCTGTGTCTTAGCACGAATCAAATAACTCTGCACAAATGTCATGCACAGTAAAGCAAGGTCTCAGTCAGAGTGGTCTGAGGAAACATACTTTGAAAGCGTGTCAGTTAGGGTTCAATTCAGATGCTCGGTGAGGCCATCTGTTTGCTGATGGTATGACGTAGTGAGCTTGTGCCACGTTTGACATGAGCGCAGGATGTTCACTATGACGCTCGATAGAAATGTGCGGCCTCAATCCGTGAGCAGCTGGCATGGAACACTATGTTGCAAGATCACATCGCGCAGAAGGAAATCAGCAACATATGTGGCACAGCTTGTTGGCAAAGCGCGTGTGATGGTGTAGTGTCTGTGGCCACAGTTATTCACCTGTTGCCAGCAGAAGACAGGAGAAAAGGGCTGAGTAGGTCCGAGCCGATGCGATAGAAGGTTCAGAAGAAATGTTGAGTGGTTTGAAGGCACCCAGCCAGAAGCGTAGACGGTGTATTGCGGCGCTGACATTCATCGCACGTTGCGATGTATCTCCTGGCGGAGCTTGCAAGACCTGGCAGATTGATACGACGGCGAATCCGGTTGTGCATGCAACTCATGCCGAGGTGACCGGCAGTTGGAGCATCGTGAAGTTCGTAGAATACAGCCGAGCAGAAATGTTTGCGTATAACCAGCAGAGATGGGCCATCTGGATGGAAGTTAAGGCAGTAATAGTGAACCATTCTGCAGTACGAACAAAATGAGATCGGTACGGGGTAAGGATTCGAGGTGCTCGATAATTGCCAGTGGGGATGCATCATGGTGTTGCTCGTGGCTACATGAGTGAGTTGGGAAACGGAGCACACACAAGCATCGCCCTGAGGGATGGTGTGCGACTCGCCAACCAGATAGCAAAAGAGGCAATCGGCGTCCTGATGCAGGCGTCCAGACTTGTATGTCACTGCAAAGGTGTACTCTTGCAGTAACAGAGCCCAGCGACCAAGTCGATCTGTGGGATCACTTAATGATAAAAGCCCGCAGAGCCCGTGGTAGTCCGTGATGACAAGGAAGTGAGTGCCTTATAAATATGAACAGAACTTGTAGACAACCCAGACAAGAGCAAGGCATTCTCCCTCCATGATTAAATAGTTGTGCCCCCCAGGTGTAAAAAGATGGCTAGTGTAGGCGATTACGCGGTCACATCCCTGTTGACATTAGGCTAGAATGGCTCCAATCCAGTACCATTGGCGCCAGTTCAGACCTCAGAGAAGTTTAGCCAAGTGATCCATCGTCAAGATTGAAGATGTCGCGGTAGGAAGCCAAAAGGCGGATAAGGGTGGCTGTTTGCACTGGGGGGAGGTCTGGAGTGATCATAGGGCGTAATGCCATGTCAAGGCGTGTGGTATCGGGTGGGCGACAAGGAAGATTGGAGCATTTGGGCCTGCAAAAGTGGTGACGTGGCCATTGGCTAAGGATTGCAACGTGGTGATGAAGATGCCTCGACACAGGATTTGTTTCGTTGATTGATTGATATGTGGGATTTAACGTCCCAAAACCACCATATGATTATGAGAGATGCTGTAGTGGAGGGCTCCGGAAATTTAGGCCACCTGGGGTTCTTTAACGTGCACCCAAATCTGAGCACACGGGCCTACAACATTTCCGCCTCCATTGGAAATGCAGCCGCCGCAGCCGGGATTCGAACCCGTGACCTGCGGGTCAGCAGCCGAGTACCTTAGCCGCTAGACCACCACGGCGGAGCCAGGATTTGCTTCGTATAGCCAAAATTTATAATGGGGAGATGTATCTGGTTGGCGGCTATATTGATGATGCAGTGAGGGTCAGTGATGCCCCGTGCAAAAAGGACATGAGGAATCAGCATGACGATGTAAGATTCACACGAATAAAGTCGTGGCAAAATCGGCGAATGTTAGGGCTTTAGGCAGTAAGTGTATGAAATCTGTGGCTCAGAAACCGCGTTGAAGTTCAAGGTGAATATCCGGCTGAAGAGGAAGGCCCAAGCAAAGAGTACCAGCCGTACAGTCTATCAGAGCAGAATGGGTCGACAGGAAGGTCATCCCTCAGATGAAGTCATGAGGACAGTTATGGAGCCCCGTGAACAGGACAGAAGCGTAGTAGTCGGTGATGCTTATGGGAACTGTACGCATTCCGATGACAAAAACAGTTTCGCCATCAACGACACGTACAGCTTCTGTGGTAGAAGGCGTGACTACTACTTTTTAGGTGGCGAGAAAGATCAGCACTAATTATGAACACGTGCATGCCAGTATGGACCAGCTCCATCTGAGAAATACCGTCCACATGCACATCGATAAGATCCGTGTTCGTAGAAAGTGTCAACGGAGAATTTGGGTATGACGCAGATGATGCAACACTTCTTCCAGGAGCTGCATAGTACAGTGTTCCGTCGGGTACTATGCAAAGATGGGCAGCGAGGAATGGCGGCGTGGTTGGGGCGACGGGAAACGAAGGCGTCAAAGGGACGGCTGTTACATGTGTCAAAAGCAGGGTCTGTATGGCCGGGTGAATACTAGCGAAGATCTTCATATTGGTGAGAAGGCGAGAAAAATTGCTTCCTATATGGCAGCGTCCAGGTGGCACGGCAGTAGCGAAGACATGTCCAACGCGGTGGCACCGGAAGCAGATCAGTTTGTCATCGAGAGTTTGCCATTCCGTGGGGTTGCGAGATGGTAGAGGAACGAATGGGTCACTTCGAGATGCATCGTTAGAGGAGGGGCGAGAGACAGAGCAGACGACAGGGAACCCGAGGTTGGCGAATCCTTGTCGTACGACTGCCTGAATAACGGAGACCGTGGGGGTTGTCGGTATAGTGACATGGTTGAACGGACAGGGCTGAACTGATGCTAGACTTGCTGCTTCAAGTTCCTGTTGAACAATTTGCGTTACACTCTGCTCAAAGGACGGTGTGGCAATGTAATTGAAGCAGG